GTGGGGGGGGTATGGGTTCTGTGGATGCTGTGCCAGCCACAAGTGTGGCTGTGAGGCTGGAGGGATGAAGCAGCAATGTGTCTATTTCTGTCCCAAGCCATTTTTCCCAACAAATATAGATTCTTGCTCCAATTTTTAATCTTCAATTCATGAAACTGCACCTCTGGCTGTCCTTGTTCAAACACTTCTGAGATTTTCAGCCTCCCCTTCACCCCAGTGCTTTCCATACAGCAAGCACACATCAGAGTGTTCTCTGGGTTTGCAATAATAAGGTTGATAATCTGTCACTTTCAGCAGTGATTATGTTGTCAGCTCAGCCAGCAAACCTGTAAAATAGCCAGAAATCCCTTGCTGGCTAAAACAATTTCTGCAGTGTTTCAGTCAGTCCCCACAGCTCTGGGAATGTTGCTAGAGGGGCTGGAAGTTCTGCTCTCTGCGGGCTGGAATTATGTATGCACAGGGCTTTGGGGTTTATTTTGTTTCCTTTTGTTTTGTTTCATTTCTCCCCCGGTGTTCCCAGTTGGGCTTTATGCTTAAACAACCTCCAGCCTCTCTGCCAGTGCTTCTGCACTCCATCATGTGGGGAGGCAAGTGGCAACTGCAGGATTAGAGTAAGGGCTTTTAAAATGAATAGTGCCTACCCGTGGGCTGTGCTGGCAAACAGGATGGGCTTTGCTCAGGGAGAGGAAAGAGAAGGAAAAGGTTCTGAGAGTTGAATCTGCCATTTAACATCCTATTTTCCTGTGCCACTAGGGAACAGTATTTTAGGATATTATTGAGAAAACGGGTGGTTTTCAGCAGTGACACTTGGACCAACGTTCTGCTTTTCTTTCATGTGTTCACGTGCTAGAAAACTGCTAGAAGAATTTCAGATGCTCTGGGGAAATTCAGAGTCTAATCAGTGCCTTCCACCTGTTTTTGTTTTAAATACTGCAGCGCCCAGTGGTGCTTGGGCTATCACCAGACATCCACCATGTGATGTTTAGATACCTTAACGACTACCTGAACTCTAAATAGTCTGCTTGTTCTGAGCAGTGAAGTTATTTTACCCTAAACAAAGACTGGTTGCTGTTTCACCCAGAGGAACCAATTTATTTTTCCTTTCCTGAGCCTGTTTTGAAATGTGGAAGTGCCCACAAGACTCCTGCTGCTGTAAGCCAGGGCTGTCACCGTGGCAGCTCTGCCTCTGCGCTGCCTTTCACAAACCTGAGAGGTTAAAAGGGATCTGTGCAAAGTTTTGAGACTTTCCAAGGAAACACAAGTCAGAAATGCAGCTTTTGGAGCGCTGCTGAAGTCGTGTGCTTTGGGGGTTCTGTAGAGTCTGAGGCTCATGTTGTGAGCAGGATTTCTGGCAGAGTTGTTTCAGTTCCATACCTGGCAGAATCGTAGAGTCTGGGGAAAAGCAGAACAGTAAAATTGATTCATGTCATCTTCTGGACCAGGTGAAGCACTTGGGAGTCAAAGCATCCTTTTGTTTGTTGAATATTGAAGGGCACGTCGTGAAACTGAGATGTTGACAGGGTGGCCTTGTTCTTCTATTCATCCTTTCATTCAGAAATGAATTAATAAACAATATAAATAAATCAACTTATTTTCTTCATGATGTGCCAATGAGTTAGGAAGATTACACAGGTATTAGCAAGGGTTCCAAGCCTGTACTTCACTTCATGAAAAGATCCCCAAACCCACTGCATTTTGCAGGTAGTGGAAGAGTTAAAGATTAATGGCTTTAATTTGCCTTTTAATATAGCATTTCTTCAGTAAAAGCCTCAAGTATAAAATCCAAGTGAACCATGACCGTGAGGTTAATGGATTTTCATCAGCAGAATTTTATAAGTGCAGCAAATAATTATTTGTCACGGTCTTCACTGCAAGTTGAAAACCCCCTCAGGAGGCTGCCAGTGCCATAAATAGGAAAACCACCCCACATTGATTTTCACTTCTAATGAGTAATCTTTTTAATAATTGTCTGTGGTATTTTAGAACCTCCTGATCATCTGCTCAGTGCGTGGAACTTCTAGACAATTTTCACAGTCTTATCTGTTTGTTTTCTACCCCTTTCTTAAGGAGTTACTGTGCTCTTCTAAGAGGGTCTCTAAATATTTAGAGTTTTCAGGTTCTTTTGGGCTGTGCTTTGGGAGGTGCTTAGCATAATTTTGTAGGCTGTTAGAAACAATCATATAAGCAGTTTGTGGTTAAAACCTTAGAATTTTGGGGGGAGAAGCTTTAGCTTAGGATACTCAACTCTAACCTTGGTTGTTATTCAGTTTTCCATACTTAGATAGGAAAAACCTCCACATATTCTGCCTTATTGTGTCTAAATTCACATGTATGTCTTGTCACCTTCATTCAAAGCACAGCTGGAATAGGTTTATCATCTGCTTTTTATCAGCATTATAATATTCTGTTTACAGTATGTTTGCACTTCAGTTGCATTCATTTTAAAGTTACTGTGTGAATTAAAATTTTAGCCATGTGATTTGATCCAATTCCTTGGGAGTTGTTGCAGTAAACACCCAAAGTTTATAATTTAGAAACTCTGTCTTAGGTAAGTGTTGCACTTACTTGTGATCCTTGCAGGATACTTTTGACATCACAGTAAAAAGAGTACAGCAAGAGAAGAAATAGAGATGTGCAATATGTCTGGCTTCAATTCTTGCTGTCCATGAAGCAGTATCTTAGGTACACTCTATAATTTGATTTCTAGGCTTGCCAGCAGTCCATATAAACACTTTAATGTTGCATGAACATAAAATTTTCATGGTTTAGTTTCATTTTTGTGCATTTTTAAATTCTGCGTATTTAAAAAAGAAACCCAAAACTTCCTTTTCCTGAGGGATTTAAAATCAGAGTTTGTTACAGGGTTTTGCATATTGAAAAAAACGTAGAAGCAGAGATTGTGCCCAAATACTTGCAGACTTCAGCAGAGAGAGAGATTAAGTTTCCAAGAGCCTCTCTTCAGTTCTTTCTTCTGTTTCCTAAATTTTAACCTCTGAGCTGGAATGTTGTTTGTAGACTGTCATTTTGGGAAATGGAGATGGGAATGGAGAAACTTTGTCAGAGACTGGTAGAAGACAAGAGACAGAAAGGAGGGGATGAAAGATAGGAATTGGAAATAGAAGCAACGGGGTGAAGGATTAGTTAATTAATAGCAGTTTAATAGTAGATAATTGTGATGATAACAGCAAATCCTACAGCAAATAACCAGTAAAGTTGTTTCTCACCCTTCCACGTACTGAAATCAAGAGGATGATAGGCTGCTAGTGTGCCAATATTGCATACAAAAAGAAGAGAGCAGAGAAGGGATAAAACAGAAGTCAAGCTGGGGAGCAAAAGTTAGAAAGGAAACTGAGAAGAGGCATCTGGAGACAGAAGGAGACCATAGGAAAAGCTTTGGACTTACAGGAGTTGTTATAATGGTCCAAACTCTGGTTTTAACTCTTAATCTTGCTGGTAGCTCATGCTGATATAATTATTATTTTTTTAACCTTTACAAATCCTTCAGTTTTCCCAGGGAGCTGGTGGGTGAGGCTGTAAAATCATCTGCTGCTTATGTTTCTTTCCTCCATGGCATCACAACGGGTTCTTCCTTTCAGAAGTTTTCTACTCTTCAGTGTTGAAAAGATGTGCAAGATCTTTGTATTGCTAAGAGAAAAGTCAGTGGTGGAGTCTTCCAGGGCTTGGTGTGGGGAGCTAATTTTCTTCCTAATCCAGAGCAGGAATCCAAAAATGCTGGTCTGAATTCATTCTAGTCATTTGCAGAACATTTCAGTTCCCTCCATCCTTCAGCCTGTTGCCAGAGTGAGCAAAGGAGGTTGCCTCCTGCTGGGCCAGCATCTCAGACCCTTGGGGGCATGTCAGGCACTGATTTCAGTGCCTGTGCTGCTGGAGCTTGGAAATCCAGCTCATTAGAAGAGTAAATTTCTCCAGCTGATCTGTGGAATATGGAATAAATCACAGGTGGGGTAAAACTTAACTAGTGGCACCTAACGTATTGAAGATGTTTGTGCATAACAACATGAATTCTATCCCCGGGCAGAATCACAACCAGGATGTTGCTTCCCAAAATCTTGTGTTGATCCCAAGTCTCTCTGGCTGTTCAGAGGGTGGGGAGTGAGAGCCACCCGCGTCTCTCTGACAAGTGCTGACCTGTTTTCTCCTCAGGCCATCCAGCTGAGCAGGGATGGGCAGTACCTGCTCACGGGGGGAGACAGTGGAGTGCTGATGGTGTGGCAGCTGTGGGACCTGAAGCAGCTCTTTGCCTACCCAGGCTGTGACGCCGGGATCCGCTCCATGGCCCTCTCCTACGACCAAAGGTGGGGCAGGGTCTGGGCTGCACGGGCACAGGCTGACAGGGCAGCTGCATTCTGGTTTTAATTCCAGTTTTGATTTTCTGGGGGTCACAGGTGAGGGTGAAGAGATGAGAATTTGGCACGAGTCCCTTTCTCACATGGCTCGTTTGGGGCAGATAGTCTTCAGGATTTCAGCTCTTGGGGGAATGAGGAGAGATTCAAGAAGTCTCCCACGGGCAGGCCTGAAGCTGGGCTGAGTTGTTAGCCTGTGCCAGCAGCAGGACAGTGTGGGTCAGGTGGAGGTGGGAGGTTATACGTGTGCTCTCCATGTTTCTGCTTCCAGTGACAATGCAGATCCCATTCCTAATCCCAGACCTTTACGTGACATGTATTTAGAACAGTTGCACTATAGGATCCATAGTTTGCTAAAGCAAATATTCATTTCCATTTCTAGCACAGTTATTTTATCCACATAAAGCAGGACTCTCCTGGAAGATTCCTTTTAGTGACAGCAATCAGTTGCTGTCTTCACTGTGTTCTTACACTTCCCAATGCAGCTGTACTTAAAATTCCTTCCATATTTTTATCACAAAGGTATTTTTTATAAGGTGGATGTTTACTGCTACTTTTTTACACTTTTAGCTTGCAGCTAGAAATTTGTTTGCTTTAGTGTATTTGCTTAGTAGAGCTCTGTGTACTTTTCAAGCAGATTTGGCTCCTAAATCTCTAAAACTTACATAAAATGAACTTTAAAAAAATCCAAGTTGACAAAATAGGTGAGTTTCAACCAAACATTCAACTTCTAAGCATAACAACAGATGACAGGGGGTTTGAAAGAAGCAGTTTTCCATTCAAAAGTCCCTGCTGTTAAAAATATTTCAGAAGCTGTTGAATTTTAGACTTCTGAAATGTACAAAATTTTTCATTTGGATTGACTTTAAACTAATTAATGGCATGTCAACATACTCTTTGCATGTCAGTAAACTGAAATTTCACATGGACTTCTATAAATTTTATCTGTGTGCTCAAGTTAGGAATGAGGGTTTGAAGACACAGAAACTCAGATTATTTTACTGAGTAATTACTCAGAGTGATTTATTTGGGATGCATGAATTTATGTGTTTGAGTGACTTTGTATAAAGCTGTTTTAACCTAATACAAATCAAACCAAAAGGATGCTCTTGAGATCCTGTGATACTGTCAGACTGGTTTTTGTGGTGTCACAGTTTGTTCTGAAGAAAAAAACACAGCTTTTATTCTGTGGTATTTTTTTTTTTCAATTCTGAGGCTTTTTCCTAAAATACCAGAATTTTATGAATCCTTTTTTATTTGCATAAAACTTTAATGTAAGACAATAGAAAGGGTGACACAGACTCTTGTAACGGTGTGCTGTGTTCAGACAGATCTCTAGTAGCAGGCCCCAGGTGAGGGATTTGGGAAGAGTGGCTCAGTGGGAAAGCACAGTGACCACTCCAGGAGCCTCCCAAACACTCAGAGCCTCAAAATTGTTTTCAAACCCAAACACAATTTCCACCTAAACTGCTGCACACACATCCAGTTCCTTCATCACTTCAGAGGGGGAGGTGAAGCTGCAGTGAACCCTTCTCCAAGCCTCCCTTCACTTGGCTTCTTCAGCAGGGCTTCACCCCACCCCAGTATCCCCCAAAACCAACCCAGAAACAACCCCAGGGGACCCACCGTGGCCTTGCAGGAGTGATGCTGGGAACACTTCTGTCACCTGACCCTCAGCTGCAGGCTGACCACCCCAGCAGCTCCAGTGGCTGGTAGGTTTTGTGGTCCATAGATCTGTCAGAGGTCCCCCCTCTGCCATCAGGTTTATTCCAGCCCAGCTTGCTGGGGTCCCTGGGAGCCCCTAAAGCCTGACTTTCTACCTGGAGCTCTCCCAGCTCTCTTTGGTGGGAGCTGGTTGTTGCCTCTGGTTCCCCTGCCTGTCCTGGTGTGACTCCTCCCTGTGCTGACCCATTGATCTGAGCACGAGGTGCTTCACTAACGAGCCTGGTTCTGCCCTTCCCTCAGGTGTATCATGACTGGCATGGCCTCTGGGAGCATAGTGGTCTTCTACAATGACTTCAATCGTTGGCACCACGAGTACCAAACCAGATACTGACCTTCAGAGACCAAGGTGAGCCCTGGTGGGGGCAGCTCTGTCAGGAGGGAGCTGGACACAGCAGCCCCCCGGGGGGCTCGCCACAGCCTCGTCCCTTATACACAGCTCTATTACATCTGAATGTAACTTAAATTTGCTGCAAGAGGCAACCTATTTTTTGAAGTTAATTGCTATTTTTGTAGACCTTGCTCAACCTTTTTTTTGTGAGAAGGGCAAAGAAGCAGAAAACTGGCTGCTGGGTTGTGTAGTTAAAAATCTATATTTTTAGTCCTAATGAGAAGTCTATTTTGATCCCTGTATGTAAAAGTAAACCTAAAGTAAAGATGGTTAAAACTCCCATTCTAGCTATGCTACGAAGAAATGGATTTTCCATCTGAAGCTTTATCTATAGCCTTGAAGGAATATATCGTTTTAACCTAATGGAAATAAATTATGAAGTTTGGGGAGTTGTTTTAATCTGTGCTCTCTGTACCACACTTGGTCTCATCCTTTTCCAAATGATTGTACTACTTCAGCACTGAAGTTTCAGAGAATCAGTGGTAATATTTAAATTATGGTTAATGCCATTTTTAACTTTGCATATTGTCTCCACCCACGTTACTCCTCCAGCATGTTTCTAGGCCTAGACAATTAGTTCTTTTTTAGTTGTATGTTTTGTGCAGTTGAGAAGGAAATGGGGACCGGAGTTTGTGTGACACCAAGTGAATCCTTCTAGTTCCTGACATCTTCAGAGCACACCAAAATGTGGATTGTTCCTCAGAAAGCCTGTTTGGAAGACTTTAGGCTCAGGTGAGAAGCCCAGAGAGGCAGGTGGGTTTTCCTAGGTGCAGATACCAAAGCACACTTCTGCTGCCTGACTGTGGAGGCACCGCAGAGGCTGTTTGCTGGTGCACAGCCTCTCCCCAGCAGCAGAAGCACCAGACTTGGAGACTTTCCCTTTTCCCCCTCCAGAACCAGCCCCTTGTAGCACGTGCTACCTTCCTTTTCTACATTTAGCAACATCTTTTGTATTTTGCTGTCACCCAATCCAGCCAGCTCCTGCCCAGTCGTCTGAAACCACCTCTTTCTTCTAGGAAATGAAAAATAATTTATACTAAGGAACAACTAAGTTATTTTGGTGGTGCACAAATCTACTTTTCTACAAGGTTGCTGTGCAGAACTCTGTGACAATATTTGTGAAAAGAACTGTTGTTTTGTAAGCCTGTATTGCATAAAAACCTCCTTTGTATGTTGTGATCTATAGGAGTTGAACTCTACATTCCGTATCTCTGTGGATACATCCATTTCTCCTAGAGCAGGTCCTGGTTTTTCTAAGCATTTAACTACTGTCTTCTTTATCAGTAAAGATTTGGAATGAGAAAATTCAGTTTGAGTGAAGAAATCAAATAAAACTACATTTGTAATTGAGAGCTTCAAGTGTGAATCTCTTGTGGTTCAGTGTGTGTTCACAGAGGGGGTAAGACAGACACTGAAACAACTCATGGTGTGTATGCAACTGAATTTTCTGTTCTTTCTACATTTTTATCCTGGTGTGGTTATGGTGGGATCTGTAGGTTCCATGTTCATGTTTTCTCTAGCAGCAGGTTGATCCCATGAAGGGGAGGCTGGGTGGGAAGTGCCCAGGGTGCTGAGCAGTAACAGTTGTTCTGGAAAACCTGTAATTCACACTTCCTGATGTTCAACCACATTCATAGCCTTTTATCAGAAGATTTTGAGGGGGAACTGGTGGGTTCTTGACGTGCACTTTCTGTTTGTTTGGTTGGTTCTGTTATTTCCCTCCACCTAGCACAGGAAACCCAGCTCTGGCTGGAGGCAAAGGTGTAGTTTGCCAAATGGAAATCCTGAAAGTTTTGTCTTTATGCTCTCCTGCTGCCATAGGAAACACTTCATCATTGGTAGAAGTAACAGAGTAATAAGTTCAAGAATGGGGGGAATTGTAAGAGTAAATTTTGGTGGGGAGCTCAGTGAACTTTGTGTTGTGCTGGTTTACAGCAGGGGAGGGGTCAGTTTTGGGGTTTCATAGCTAGACCTGCAGGAATTGGCTCCCCTGGGAACAAGGACTCATGTTTCAAGGAGCTGAAAAGAGGTGGGATTTTTAAAAACTCATTTTTTAGTCATTTTTTTAAAAATATAGGCAGTTGTGCTGTCACTTTTGTGTCTGAAGTAAACTGGCATTTAATCAGTATCTATCAAAGTACTACATGGATCTCCATTACTTGTATGGAGCAAAAATTGTCCTCCTAAGACAAATGTAGGACCTGAGTTTCCAGTTCCTGTGGTCATTTCTTCCCCTGTACAGCAGCTGGCTTGGCTCTGGCTTCCAGTGCCTGCTCTATCTCTGCCTCTTTCCACCAACTGGTGGACTCAGGAACCTTCTGAAGTGTTTCAGTGTTAACCCACCCACCTTGATGGGTGTTTTGGCACAGTCTCTGCTCTGCCTCTGCTCTGTGCAGCAAATACCTGTCTGAGAATGCCTAGATGTTGCTCAGACGTGAATTCAGGGTGTGTATCTCTTCACTCTCTCCTTCCACGAGACCAAGTCCCAGTTTAGGGCTGCCAGCTGCTGCCTGGGGAAATGACCATCCTTCCTTACAGATCTGCAGGAGGTCCTGTGGAACACAACTGGTTACATCTCTCTGCTAATCCAGAACAGTTTTTAATTCATAAAATTAAAAGTAAATGCACAATGATTGTAGCCAGCCTTTTTATCATAGTTTAGGACACACAATGTACCTTTTTCTACCTTTACTGCCTTTTTTTTATACCTTTACTACCCCTTTTTTTTCAGCCAAGATGCTGTATGCTCATCTTCCAGCTGTACCATGACCTTAAGCTATCTCTTGGCACTTTTGGATCTTTAATTGCCTCTTCAAAAGGTAAAAAAAACACTTTTATCTACATCTTCCAGAAGAGGCAATGGGCTTTTAAAGGTTATGGGAGTCCATCAGATTAACTATATGAAGCCTTTTTGGTAGGCACCTGACTGTTCAGTCTCTCCAGGGGCACTCAGACCCTATTTTCACTGACAAAACAACTGAGTTTGCAAAGAAATCATCATTTTTTTTTTTTTAATGAAGAAAGTTTATTGCAGGTCTCTCTCTTACAATCCTAGTAGAAAGTAGAGCTAAGAAAGAAAATGAACTATGACCAATTCGTAAGGACGAGCAAAGGAAAAGAAGAAGCTGAATACATACTCTACTGAACTAAGCATCGTGGTGAAGATCTTGAGGCTGCAGATGGAGGGTAGCTGCTCCCCAATCCTTGTTTCCAGTGCCTGCACCAGGTGAACAGGGAGGTAGCACTGACAGACTGGTAGCTGTTGATGGCAGCTGTTGGTAGGAGCTCATCCTAGAGCTAGGAACTGCTCCACTCATCCCAGCTTGGGTATCATGCAGCAGGCTCTCTGCTCACAGGTCCAAAGTCATTTTATTCCAGCTAACAGGTAGTCTGACCCTGGAGGAGGGTGTGGCTGGGACACTTGTGGTTAGGATGGAGAATGGCTGTAACAAAAAGGCTTCCTTGACTCCAGTCTTTGTTCCAAACAGACGTCCAGTGCTCACGTTTACATCCCAAGTCACTTTGTTTAAATCCATAGTATCTAAACACTCTACCCTGCAGCCTGAAAGTCAGAGAACAAACTTGATGCAAAACAACCATTCCTTCCCTCTGTCTCCAAGGTCTGGCTGCAATTTTACAGTTAGTCCACTAAAAAAATTTTTTTTTTTTTTCTGTGAAAATTTGCCTCTTCAAGTTTAGTAGAAGCTCAGCTAAAAACAGAGGCAACGGAGCAGAAGGTGGATACAAGATTTCTTCCTGTGTCTTCCTCTCCAGCTTTTCTGAGACTTCTCATCAGAAGAGCAGCATGGGGCCTCCTAGCAGAGGTGAGGCCAGGCAGCTGCTCACCCCACTGCTCCTATAAAAACATGGTTAGCTACACCATGGGTTAGTCTGTGTAGAGTCCAAGGCGGGGTGGAATACAGTGAATTAAACTACCACGGGTAACTTCAAAAAACCACCTAACATTGCCAGAATGTTTCCCTCACTGCTGTCCTCAGGACAAGGGCAAAGAGCACTCCAAACGTCCGTCCACTCCCCCACTGCCAGCAGATCAGTCTCCCCTGGCAGAGCCTGCCCTGGCCTGAAAACAAACTGAAACGAGGAGCTGAGGAGGAGCTGCAGTGGGACCTGGTCCCGTCAGTCCTGAGCACCAGGCTGGTCCCCAGCACGCCCTGGGGGTGCTGAGGCAGGGGACGTGGGGGGGCTGAGTGGCTCAGAAGCAGCAGGGAGGAGGGTCCTGGAGGCAGCCCCCTGAGGGGCACCAGCTGCAGCAGTCCTTGCAGAGTTCTTCTCCCTTCCAGCTCTAGCAGAGTCCTGACAGCGCTTGCTGCAGAAAATCTGACTCTCTTTATCTAGAGCTGTGTTCTAAAACAAAGGAAAAAAAACCAAACCCAAAGCAAAAAAACATGAAAAGAGTAATTCAATCCAAGCCCTGTCTTAACTTAGGGGTTAAAACAATCTACAGGACATTAAGTGCATGCATTAGAGCCAGGAAAAAAAGGAGAAATAACCTGAGGAATCTTGCAGAGCATCAATGGTGGCAGTTTGTGATGCTGAATTTGGAAAAGGTACCAAAACCTTGTCTCCCAGACCCTTTTCTAGGATGGCAGGAGTTTAAAATTCTGGTTTGCAAGTCTGATGTGGAAGAGAAGAGAATGACACGAGTGGCACAAACTTCACAGAGCTGTGGGCAAAATTTAGGTACCTGCAGAACAAGGAATCCCATGGAGCCAAGTGAAAAATTAACCATGCCTTTGCTGCAGCCAGCCATGGGGTACAGAAGTCTGTGATGATGACAGATAAAAAAACTTAAGGATTATCTCTGTTTTAAAGAAAATTGTCCACTTTTCTGCTTACTGTTGGGGGTAGGCAGATGACCTTGTCATGAATCTGATATGGAGGCTGAAATGCCTCATGTCTGAACACTATTTTATTTAAAAACT